CCGAATGGGGAAAAAGCAGTGCAGACAAACGATCTTCACACCTTGTTATAATTCTTTGAAACGTCTATATTTAAATTTCAAAACAAATGAGATTACAGTAGACTGTTACTGCGGATCATATACCATAGCTGTAGAGAATAATAATCAACTTGATTTTATATAGCGCCTCTAAAGGTGGCTCCTCAAAGCGCTTTACAGGATGACAACAATGATAAATAAGGAGAATACACCCGATAAAACACAATGACAACACACAGAGGAGAGCGTGGATGGTGGTACTAAGAGAAGCAGAGGGGTGAAGAACAGAACCAGTTCAGTAAAGGCTCTTCTGAAGAAGAGGGTTTGGAGTCTGGATTGGCAGGAGTTTAGAGAAGGTGACTCTCTGATATCCTTGGGCAGAGAGTTCCAGAGCTTGGGGGGGCACAACAGGAGAAGGCCCTGTCACCCCTAGAGTGTAGACAGGCTTTGGGGGGGACAGTTAGGAGAGCAGAATTGGAAGAGCGAAGGTTGCGAGGTGGGGAGTAGGGCGATGATAGCTCAGACAGGTACTGAGGCGCCCAGCCATGCAGAGCCCTATAGGTGAGCAGGAGGATTTTAAAAGTCCACTCGGAATTTGACCGGAAGCCAGTGCAGGGACTCCAGGATAGGAGTAATGTGATGACTTGCACTAGACCTGGTCAGGATTCTGGCTGCTGAATTTTGGACAGACTGTCCAATACGCACACTACTGCAGTAAAACTATGCTTTGGACATGTTGGATCCCTGACCTGAATTATTTTTAACATACACTGCCCGGTACGTCGTCCTCAACTCTGATCTAACATCCAACAGAAATGTTCCATATCCAGAGTATATCCTCTGACCCTTTGAACTTTGTGTCAGTTACGAGAAAAAAAAATGTAGCTCTGTGGACCTGGGGTGGTGGATGGACAGAAAAACCTTGAAGTTTCCCCACCACTCATCAGAACCTCTTTGTCTAGGTCTTCATTGGTAATCACTTTTCCAGAACGTCTGAGCATCACCTACCAGGGTGGAGGGTTTCTGGGTTCCTGACTGGTTGGTCATGCGACCTGCGATTAAGACCACTGTCCAGATGGGCCCGTGTCTCTCTGCTAGATATCCAGGCTCCAGGGCTGGATATCCATCTAGTGAAGCACTGGTCCCGGTGAATCCTGGGAAATGCTGCTCTACACTAACGCTAAAAGAGTAACTAACTAAAAAGTTCGTCTCCGCTACGTTCTAAGCATGCAAGAGTCACTAGGTGACTCAGTAGGGTAAGACCAAAGAGAGGGTCACTGGGAATCCACAGCATGGCTGCTACAGGCCCAAACCCAACATCACATCACCCACAGAACCACATCCGTACTGTCGGTGGTGGCAGCATCGTTGTACTGCGATGTTTCTCATGGGCACGACTGGGGCACGACTGGGGCACGACTGGGGCACGACTGGGGCACGACTGGGGCACGACTGGGGCACGACTGGGGCACGACTGGGGCACGACTGGGGCACTGGTCAGGGGAAATGAACAGAGAATACTGCGGAAGACGCTTGAAAAACCCGTTGCTGTCTGCAAGAAGGCTGAAAGTGGGACAGAGGGTAAGCTTTCGGTGTGACAGTGACCTACAGCACAAGGGGAGCTGCAAAAGAACAGGAATGGTTTAATGTCCTCGACTGGCCTGGTCAGAGCCTTGAGCTCAATGCAACTAAAAATCTCTCAGGTGACTTGAAGGTTGCTTCTCACCATTTGACTGAGCTTGGACTGTTCTTTTAGGAGAAATGCGCCACTGTCGTCAAGTCTAGGTGTGAAACATTGGCTTTAGACGCATTAAAACAGAATTCTGGTTGTCAAGCAAGTATCGCCACCTATCCAACCCGTGTTTTCTAGGTTGTCATCTGTAATTGATTTTCACAATGCCTGAGCGTCTGTTTTCACTTGGATGCCGTCGGTGACAATGGGTAAACGAAGGTGAAAAGTTAACGAGTGTTGATTTCGGGCCGTTACTTCGGAAAGGGGCGTCACACATACAGGAAAAGTGGAAAAGCAGGGTCAGGAAGAACTCAACTGGGGCTTTCTTTGAGAACTCTCCCTACGTTAACAGTTGAACAGCTTCTCTCCTGGATGGATTTCATTTCAAATCTTTCGTGTCATGATTACAGCTGAGCCACCCCCGCAGGACAGTGATGGCATTCGCTCGTCGCGGAAACACCTTCCCCGGATCAGAGACCCCCGCCGCGCGCCACTCAACTCCCCCCCGGCGCCGGGGCTGAAGCCGCAACCCCCCCGCCCGGGTGAGCGCGCAGGTGCCTCCGCAGACTGCTGGGGGCGCCGAAACCCTTCCCGCACAGCCGGCAGCCGAACGGCCTCTCTCCCGTGTGGACGAA